ATTTGGCATAGACCTGAGACAGAGGGGGGGAAAAAAACTCCACTGTGATGTAGATGGTTTGTGGAAAGAAAAAGTGGAGTATAAAGAGAAAATTTAATCAGAGTAGAAGAATATGATTTTATTAAGTATTTGTATCCAGGCTTTGGTTGTCTGAGAGCTACTCAGATACAAATGGTAATTATAATAACTACATGATAATTTAATTACAGTTAACCATATGAATAATAATTCAGTTATTCTTATAGAAGAATTCAGGTTTTAAGGTGATGTGAGCAAGAAGATGGAGGGTTTAGTAGCCAAAGCTAGTAATAAGGAAAGTTCAATATGTGTTTTGACAACATGGATGGAAAAAGTAGTTTTTTGATGAGCAGTTATTACAGAATTTGCAGGGCTTAGTGACAGAGTGGAAGTGGTGGGAGGAGTCAAGGTGGAGTTCTGGTGTCCTGGAAGAAAGTTGTAGGCATGAAAATAGAATACTTGGTAGGAAGAGAAGAGAAAATTGACGTGGTTTGCTTGGAAAACATTAAAAGTTTGCTTGTTCATAATACAGGATTAGATGTTTAAAAGCCAATCAAGTTTAAGATGAAGAAGAAAGTGGTTGACCTCTTTTTCTTGTAACTTTTTGATTAAATAAGGAGGAAAAGAAGTGGGAACAAAAGGAAAGTCCTAAGGAAATTTAGCAAGCCCTGGGTAAGAAGCAGATTCCAGAACAGATGACAGATAAAGGAGGAAGTCAGAGTGCTAAGACTAGCAGGCAAAGAGAGAATTTTGAAAGCACAGGCAGAAAAGTGAAAACCTTTTTTGTAAGTCACCAGTCAAGAAGATGAGGATGACAGTATGTCCCTAAGAGCGGAGTAGGAGAGCACAATGGATCTCAGTGAGATTGCCTCAGATGAACATGAAGTTAAAAATTGGAAGGCATCACTCAAGATAGTCTATTAAGTAAATATAAAGACACCAGGGTAGCTACCACTGTAGAAACAGGACCTAGGAAAATGTAATATTGTTCTGTAATTATAACTCAAATTTGTAAGCAGAAGGATTATTCCAGAATAGATGGTCTGAAGAGAGGCGCTACTCTGGAATAGCTAAGTTATACTAGTATTTGTGTAGCTGCACAGTTTTCTAAAATAGCTGTTCCCAGCGTTTTTCACCATGCAAAGAAAGTCTATTCCCTATTTATGAGCTTCTACAATAGCAAGACAAGTAAAATGTGGTTTTTATTGCCTTGCATTCACACACTTTGCAATAACACAAAGAGGCCTATTTTATTGGGAAAAGAGATACCAACAAAAAAAAAGAATTAAAAGTATTCTAATTTTGCCATTTAAGTGCATCTGATTTTAACTAAAAGGCTAACAGTTGCACCATCGTTGTCTGTCAGCTCAAACTTCAGAATTAGAGGCTTTTTAAAACGTTGGATTCAAAACAGTTTCTCTCGAGTAGAGAAAAGGGAAGCCAAGGGACAAAAATGTGCCCCAGTCATTTCTGATTTTTTTTAATGGAGTTTACACATGATATATATATGTCCTGGCTTTCTGTAGTTCATCACTGACAGTGATATACATCTGACAATAGTGTTTGGGTTAAAAAGCAATTAGTTGAAAAGGTGTGCAAATGTCCATGCCGATACCTGTCTCCCAGATCTATACTAAAAAACAGTGGAGCAGAGTGGTGCAATGAGAAGAGAATGAGCTTGTGAGCTGCAGATAAACAAGTATTGAAATGAATTTCTGCAATTTCAGCCAGACTTGTATTAATTAATCAGTATGCCTATTAGCCATTCAAAATTAATAAATAGACAGAAGCTATAATCTTGATTGGATAGCACAGTTCTCTGATATGGGTCCTTTTATTTCTAAGAAGTGAAGGAAAGTTTCTTCTACAGAATTCCTGATAAGAAAATGGTATAAGAAAAGCAATTATTTATCCTTTTTTTTTTTTTTAGTTACTTACTATTTTTAGAGTAGCTAGGTTGTATGTGGTTTGGGGTTTTTTTTTAAGGCTATTAGAAAGGAATGCTTTTGAAGATTATACAGAAAAGAATTTTCAAGGATTGTTTCAGCATGTTCAGGTATCAAAAGGAAGATGTTTTCTTCTGCTTTAACTAGCTAAATTTTTCTGTAAAGGGGGAAGAGCATCTAATGGTTGTTACTAAGACCCTCAAGAACTGGATGAGTTAAACCAAGCAACTGGTCAGCACCAGAATAAGCTCATACACTCAAGAAATACTTAGATTGTTTTTCACAATGAGTCGCTCTGTCTCTGACTTCTTAGGCTTGATTCTGAAAGGAGACCTGCAGCACAGCTTCAGCAGGCAAGGCTGGGAACTAGGATTCATAATTTTGATGGACATTAGGAATCATTCTCACTAACGGCAGTGAGTTTCTCTCATCTTCCAACTTGGGCTATATCCTTCCCGTTCCACAGATGGCAGCTATCTGTTGCCGTTTTCTGCTCCACATGAGTTTATGACTTGTCACCTTTCTCCTTGCCCACATCCTCCCGTTTTATAAAAGCTAAATCTTATTTTCTATTACATTGTCAAACACATTAGTGTAATTACCTTCAGAATGCTTTTTTGCCCAACCTGAATTTAACTTGAAGATTGTAGATTTTCTGGATGGTTTTGGAACTGAAGGGGGACTGTGTCTGACAGCTTACTGTCCTTTACAAATACATCTTTCATTCAACCAAGTGATGCTACTTCTCTGTACAAGTATTGGCATTGTACTGTTCTTAAATTGCAGATCTCATCTCAACCCTCAGCTGGATTGTGTGTGTACTATTGTTATTTACCTGTCATTGTTTTGGCCTTTTTTGTTGATGGTGAAGTTTTCCCTGCTGTTTGAATTCTAGATAGGAGTCCGAAAAGTGTTTCTTAAGTACTGGCAAGCTGACCATCTCAACGATTTGTGCCTTCAGCTTCAGAAGAAAATTATAACCTGCCAAAAAGGTAACAATTACAGAACAAGTATTCCTGAGCTGTCGCTTTGGACACTGAGCAGAATATTGCATAACAAAAAATCTTTCTCCTCCTTGAACAGCTGCTGTATTTTATACATTTCCC